TATACTCTTGGAAGTCAAGCTTCCTCTGTGCAAGGTGCCGTGTGCCCCGTCACATTGAGTTTGCATGCTTCACCCAGAAGCGGTACCAAGAGCCTCAAAAGTACCTAGTTCCTCTGCTATCTAAAGAATGCAATAATCAGGATTAATTGTATTTGAGTCAATACTTAACATATTCGTGTTGCCGAATTGAGAATAAAGCTGGCATCATGCTTGATGTGTGGTTCTCAAATTATGGAGTTAACCATCATGATACTTCCGTACTTTTGCATATGCATAATATTGTAAAATAAAGTTCGTACGATTGTAGTATTGCGCCCTCCTCACTGAGATGTGGATCACATTGGGGTTCACATTACTCAAGATATTGCGCAAAAGTGAACGCTCAGCCAGACCCCCGTTTGACTCCACAATTTGCACTCTTCTGTGTCTGCTCCTCAGAACATACTCACATCTCAATTATTCTTTTGTGCACTTCATCAAAAAGCTAAGTAGGCCTCAAAAGAAGCGAGGTTAAAAACGCTGTTAGGGCAATAATCGGCGAGGACGCCAACACTTCGACAAAAAAGGTCGCCCAGACTTTGAGTCCTGGTTATAATCTCCGCCCTCATCCGAGAGCATATGACCCTGTTGTTTACAGGGAAGAGGCGCATACAGCACTCTGTCTCCATTCTGCATGAGTTAAGAGCTCCATGCTCTTTCCTCATGCAACTGAGTAGCTTTTGCTCTTCGAGCAGTGCCGGAAAAGGTCAAAATTCCCACGGCTTGTTCATTTGAAATCTTTTGGTTGCGGCGACGCGCTGGGATTCGTTTTTTGCGTAAAGGAAGGGTCAACCGACGAGCCACTTGCGGGCTTAGTAGGCGCAGTACGATCCACTGGTATAGAACTGGGTTGTGCTTGTGTTGTACATTTTGGAGGCCAAGGTCAATGCATCAAGTCATGAATGCTAATACTCTATATAAAAGAGATTTTACTTACGGCCCACTGTTGCTAACTGTCATCATCAACGCTCCCGACCCTTTGATGCTGTAAATAGTTCTGTTTTATTCAGAGGGGTTAAATTACGTATATTACGCAACGGTTAAAAACCGTAACCAGTACGCAAAGGCATTCAAGGAGCTAAACACGGTTCTTCTCTTCTCAGAGAAAAGAAAAGAGATGAGTTTCGAGCGTCTTGCGGCGGGAAACGAAGTCAGCTGACAAATTTTCTCTTGATATTTGCAGCGAAGCTGCCGTAGCTTTGCGCTTTGAGAAAAAAACGTACGTTAGGTCACCGAACTCTCGTTCTATACTCAGAACAAGTACGAGTTTAGCGGGTCGCAATCCGCTTACTCCAAGAGTAATTATAGCCTTAACCCAAGGCTAATCAACTCTACGGTTTAAGTTTAAAACTGACTTTATTTATTTTTATATGCGGCAAAGCCGCCTAATTTTAAATGCATAGATCTTCCTAAATATGTAAAGTAAAATCTCAATACATGTATAACTACTGGCTATCCAGCCCCGTACCGTAATCTTGTTTGGGTGTGGTCATACCATGCCCATCTGGTGTGACACACACCCCTGTTACCAGGGTATGTTTAACCCCGTTCCACTCTCCCTCATTAAGATTGAGAACATTTACAGTTCCAATCGATTATTGCCTGAAACGAGACTTGCGTGTCCGTTAGACACTGCGTTGGAATGAAACGACTTCCGTGCTCAACGAGCCCTGTGTCAGTGACACCGAAGTCTTCAAGTCTCGCTGGTTTCGACAGCGCTCGCGGGCAGAGCCCGGCTTTATCTCCCGCACACAGTGCCATGTCGGACCGCGTCTCCGCGGCATCGGGGGATGTT